GCCTCTCGGTTCCCGGGACCAGGCTGGGAGGTTGTTTGAGAGGAAGAAGCAGAGGGCGGCCCGGGAGCCAGCGGGAAGGATCCGGTGGTCCCGGCCGGGTTGAGGGCCCGGCCTCTGGGGCACTGCCCGGGAGTAGATGTAGGAGTAAAGTCTGGGCCCAGGTACGGGGCTCGGTACAGCGGGGAGTGTGATGCCTCGCGTTTGGTCTGGTGCCTTTTATCTTTTCTAAGTGCGTCTGTATTTTATTTATTTATTTTTTAAAAATATATTTTATTGATTTTTTAGAGAGAGGAAGGGAGAGGGATAGAGAGTTAGAAACACCGATCAGCTGCCTCCTGCACACCCCCTACTGGGGATGTGCCGGCAACCAAGGTACATGCCCATGACAGGAATCGAACCTGGGACCCTTCAGTCTCCAGGCCGACGCTCTATCCAGTGAGCCAAACCAGCCAGGGCACCACCACTAATTTTTAAGATTGTTTGTTTATAAAGCATTATAATTAGTAAGTATATATTATACTTTACGTATAACCATAAATAGTAATGGTATTTATTTATATTTATTTAGAATATTTACTATTTTTATGTTTATATAAGTACATAGTAATTTCTTTAAAAAAAACACACACAAGTCAATTTTGAATCCTTAATCCCTTGTTTTTAAATGGAAGTTATCAGTGGTAATAGAATTTGCTAAAAATTTTTTCTACACAAGTTAGATTGAAAAATCGAATGAACTAATCAGAACCCACATTTTGGTACATTCTTCCTATTGGGCAAATATTGCTTCCTCTGGCCTTAAGTGAGGCCTCCCTTCCAAGAGAACAGAAACTATTTCGTTCTCCTTCCCTCCAATGCTAAACAAATCTGAAGTTTTTGTAAAAATGACATTGATTCTAGTTGGAGAAGATACTTAAAATAGCATTTTTCTGTAGGTCATACCTCCATAACATTGTAAATCCCTTGCTGGAGCCCTAATGGGTTTGGCTCAGTGGATGGAGCATCCGCCTGTGAGCTGAAAGGTCCCAGGTTCCATTCCGGCCAAGGGCATGTACCTTGGTTGCGGGTACATCCCCAGTAGGAGGTGTGCAGGAGGCAGCTGATCGATGTTTCTCTCTCATCGATGTTTCTAACTCTCTATCCCTCTCCCTTCCTCCCTGTAAAAAATCAATAAAATATATTAAAAAGAAAATAGGACTTAGTTCCAACTAAGTCTTGACACTACAGTTTAAAAAAAAAAAATCCCTTGCTAGGACAGGGACAATCACCTTCGTAGCTCCCTCAGGACTGTACTGCAAAGCACTTTCTAAGGACCAATTACTGCAACTGCTCAGTAAATAAATGTCTGTGGGGAAAACCAGCGAATAAAGGCGCAGCAATAAAACACAGCCCTAAGCGGTTTGGCTCAGCGGATAGAGCGACGGCCTGCAGACTGAAGGGTCCCGGGTTCGATTCCGGTCAAGGGCATGTACCTGGGTTGCGGGCACATCCCCAGTAGGGGGTGTGCAGGAGGCAGCTGATCGGTGTTTCTAACTCTCTATCCCTCTCCCTTCCTCTCTCTAAAAAATCAATAAAATATATTTTTAAAAAATAAATAAATAAAATACAGACGCACTTAGAAAAGATAAAAGGCACCAGACCAAACGCGAGGCATCACACTCCCCGCTGTACCGAGCCCCGTACCTGGGCCCAGACTTGACTCCTACATCTACTCCCGGGCAGTGCCCCAGAGGCCGGGCCCTCAACCCGGCCGGGACCACCGGATCCTTCCCGCTGGCTCCCGGGCCGCCCTCTGCTTCTTCCTCTCAAACAACCTCCCAGCCTGGTCCCGGGAACCG